CCTCTAGAGGTTTAGCATTATGTGTTGTCAATGCGTGTTAAAGTTTATTTGATGGGAGAAATTTTAACATTTGCAACTCTAGTGATATCATTAGTTTCAGCTAAACTTCTCACCCTCAGTGTCACAGCTAATCATGTTCTAATGTTACAGTTTTTCATTAGCACTGCCATAAAAGTCGATCACTTCCTTTGTAGCAATGTTAACTGAACGATAATTCAACGGCTTGGTTTGAGGAATGTGAAGCCATATGAGTTGTGAGTGAGTGGCATGTGTTTAACGCCGCTTTTAAAAGTATTCCAGTTATATCTCGGCGTGTCAGCTTAATGTGGGAGGAAAGCCCGAAGTGATGCAGGCCTCAGACGTTTACCACTTTGGTTGAAACCCACGAACACGGGTATTGTGCTGACAAACCTAGAAACATAATCGGGGCGAACCGGGATTCGAACCCACAATCATAGGTTTCTGGCGTGCCCAAGGGATGCAACGCTGCACAGCGAATCGCGGCGACTTAGACGACTGAGCCACTCATGCCCCCCGACAAATCGGTTGAAAAAGTTTTAAATTAAATTAAAAATAAATGATAATGCTGTAATAGGTCATTTTGCGATAACCAAAAATGTTTAACAAGAAATGAATTCCTGAGATCCGTCTCGAATGTTCTTATCAATACACATTGAAACTCCATAATGTGCCATACACTTATGTTTTATAGTATTACCACGTCATGTTACCACGTGTCCAGTTGGCAGAGCGTCTGCCCGGAGAACGGAAGGTCGGTGGTTCGATCCCGGCCGCGTTATACCAAAATACCTTATATATAATTACTTGTTGTTACCCCACCTTGCGGATTGGTCGGCTCGGAGTCAGTATACTGTGTCTGAGTGTGGTGTTCATGTTAAACTGCGGCATGGTATCTCAGTGGGCTAGCACTATAAAAGCAGCAACACACACAGACACGTGCCATGTCAACTCAACTGAACTCATGTAATGTTGCTATGGATTAAACCCTTAATGCCCGTCTAAGTTATTAACAACAATATATTATTTTGTATGTGTATATCAGTATAATATATCAACTTCCATACAATATTACACCGATCTATGTGGTCATTTCATGGAAACAACTACCTAACCCACAAGAAACCATTCAGGTATAGACGTATCACCATTGTTAGGTTAATCAACATAATCATTGATTCCTGTAATTAGAAAGGTCGAAGATTTCCAAATCCATTCCTGTACATTTGAAAAAGGGCAATATTATTACCCTTGATGCAATATCATCTATTTATGTGAGTGAGTGAATATGGCTTTACGCCACTTTTAGCAATGTTCCAGTAATATCACGGCGGGGGACACCAGAAATGGGCTTCACACATTGTACCCATGTCGGGAATCGAACCCGGGTCTTTGGCGTGACGACCGGACGCTTTATCCACTAGGCTACCCGACCGCCCCAACCGCCCCTCTATTTATGTAATAAGAAAGAACGAAGAGATATTCACAATGATGATGGTGTATTTCAGTGTTAAGGCAAACTGCCCACGTACAAAAACATTGCAGTGTGAAATTAACATGATGACAAGCCAATTATGAAACAGGATGTAGCTATTCAGTGACATGTTTCTTTGATACAATGGCGTCTAAATCACATAGTTGACATATTCTTTTTTATAACGTAGTCATTTCCACCGTCGGGTAGCATTTCTTTAAGGAAGTGCCGGTGCTCTCAATAGGAATAACAATTGTCATGATTCTCTGTTACAGCAATTAAGTCATATTCTGTAAAGTATAGTAAAGATTGAAATTCTTTATCAGTGGTTAACTTCCTTGATTCACATACCAGATAAAACCATTCTTGTTGAGGACAGTCTGTGATTCTTTGTGTCAGAACATCGATGACGTATGCCACATCGCCAACATCTTGCGAAAGATATACAACACTTCATCTATTCTTAAACAGAATTGGCCTTTTAAGAGACCCACGTTGTTTTCTTTTGTTGATAGAAATATGTTTGTATGACATATATAAAGTTGTTTAGGCATATGTTATGGGGCAGTCGCGGCAGCTTGGACCAATATGTGATACTAACGTAGGCTACACGTCCATCTCCAAGAGCTGTAACATTTGAAACTTGTCTTCCGGTAGATACAAAAAATGTACAGAATTTAATTGAAACTGTTCGATGATTGATCTTTTCTGAGGTTCCAATATTTCTGATCCGTACAATAGGTTTGGTTTTATCAAATATATTTAAAAGCTTATCTAGATGTACCATGTATGTTCTTGAAACTTCTTTGTAGTGATTAAATTGTGAAGAGTGCCTTGTTTGCAATCAATGGTAAACTGTGGACGGATTTGTTCCCTGATAATTGTTCGTTCGAAAAAGAGCAAACAGATTAGAATCAAGCAAATAGACGCCCAATTAACTGGAAAGTAACAATGAAGACACCAGATGTTCACCATGAAGTTTGCTTCGTAATCACTGACAAGTTAAAGACGCCGTAATGTTACAACTTAAATACTCTTCAAAGTGGTTTGAAACATTCTAAAGCAAACAGACACATGTATCCTTGTCTGAAAATCACAAACTCAGGCGAATGAATCAAGGACATTGATAATATTCTTTAACATCAGATGTGCCATACAGTATAGTTGTCTGAAGTCAATGAACTCATTATTTTCTATACGAAAGATCTTCTTTACCCCTGCACGCCAAAATTAAAACTCCTCGAAAGTACAGAGTATTCCAATAACAACCCATAAAAGTCCATGCAGATTAACATGCGACCTTATCATAGATAATGAAACCGACAAAATGCTGTTCCTGGCATGATTAGCATACATTTCCGGATTAATCGATTTATGGGTGCGTGGTATTATCGCTTAAATTACTACTTATATCCCAAACAGTGACCATCTCGGAAGACGTACGGATACGTAGGCGGCAGATTAACTGAGTATCACTGTATACTTCATAATTTACAACCTCCGTTAAGATCCGTTAGAATTGGTGTTCAGTAACCCATGCGTGTCCCTTGTGAAGATCCGGGTTAGAATTGTTCTTCAGAAACCCATGCTTGTCCCTTGTGAAGATCTGGGTTTCAAAAGGTCTTCAGGACATAAAGCGACAAAACGCTTTCCATATCCGATAGAAATCTCTGCATAACGCAGAGTCGATTGTACGATTCCGACTATGTTGTGAGCATTTGTTTATGAAACACTATCAAATAGTAATGACACCAGGTGTTCAGCAACCCATGTTTGTCCCTCGGGACGATCCGGGTTAGAATTGGTCTTCAGTAACTATGCTTGTTCCTCGGGACGATCCGGGTTAGAATTGGTCTTCAGCCACCCATGCTTGTTCCTCGGGACGATCCGGGTTAGAATTGGTCTTCAGCCACCCATGCTTGTTCCTCGGGACGATCCGGGTTAGAATTGGTCTTCAGCCACCCATGCTTGTTCCTCGGGACGATCCGGGTAAGAATTGGTCTTCAGTCAACCATACATTTCCCCGTGGAGATCCGGGTTAGAATTGGTCTTCAGCAACCCATGCTTGTTCCTCGGGACGATCCGGGTTAGAATTGGTCTTCAGCCACCCATGCTTGTTCCTCGGGACGATCCGGGTTAGAATTGGTCTTCAGCCACCCATGCTTGTTCCTCGGGACGATCCGGGTTAGAATTGGTCTTCAGTCAACCATACATTTCCCCGTGGAGATCCGGGTTAGAATTGGTCTTCAGTAACTATGCTTGTTCCTCGGGACGATCCGGGTTAGAATTGGTCTTCAGCCACCCATGCTTGTTCCTCGGGACGATCCGGGTTACAATTGGCCTTCAGTCACCCATACATTTCCCCGTGGAGATCCGGGTTAGAGCTGGTCTTCAGAAACCCATGCTTGTCATAAGAGACAACTCAGGAGATCGGGTGTTCAGGCTTGCTGACATGGTTGATGTATGTCACCGTATCCCATTAGCGTTCATCGATGCTCACCAGACTAGACTATTTACAGACAGCCGTAATTTTGCTGAAGTATTACCGAGTTCGGCGTTAAACAACAACCAACCAACCATAATATACAACAAATAAAAAAATCCACTTTTTGAATTTAATTCTAAGAAAGAATTTATGAATAGATAACAAGACAAATCGAACCCCTTACTTGCATAATATACTGAAACCCTGTTTGTCGGGAAAACCGTCCTCCCGACGTTTTCTTCATCTTCTGACATCGATCTCCCATGTTTCTGTTTCTACCAATGTTTTTTACCGTTTTTCAACAGATATTGAATTGAGTATTCTATTAGATAGTCACTGGCGTTTGTAAATTACCACTGCTAAAGCTGTTAAATGGTTAAATATTAATTGCACTGCACATTGTACATTTTGCACATATTTGATATTGACGTGTAAATTTCATTGATGTCAACGTCTTGATATTCCAATATCACATGGAATCGTATTAATGCCACAGTCTAAAATAATGTATCATCCACGTAGATGAAACTTATATCTACGTAGATGTTTCTACTCACATCTACGTTGAATATACTTTCATCTACGTTCATAAAATAATGATCTACGTAGACGAAAGTATCATCTACTGTCAAATTATCGACTAAGGTAAAAATATTTTCTCGAGAACTCGACACTAGTTCCGGATAATTAACATTTAACCTGTGGCTTAATTAATAATGACCGATTTGTTAGACTTTCAACCTTGACATGTCTTTATTAAGATACTACCTAAACATTGCATAAAGTTCATCTTCATTTCAATGTGTCGACGTTTCTTGAGAATGACACACGCTACACCCTCTTACAACTGTAATAAAGAGAGAGGATCACAAAAATGTTCTCCAAACTACAAACAAACAAACAAACAAACAAACAACTATATATTATTCAATATTTTAGATAGCATAACATGGTTAAAACTGAAGAAATCACTCGAATATGTCATTCAAACCAGTATTCTATATTCTAGTTTGCTTATTACAGGACGGTCATACTGCAATGCCACGTTTGATGGGTGGGGATGTTGGAACCACACCCTTGCAGGGGAGACAGCCTTCATTACCTGCCCCGCCTTCATCACCTTCAACCCAAATGGTGAGTATAGGCCTTCGTGACCTTTAACCCAAATGGTGAGTATAGGCCTTCATCACCTTTCACCCAAATGATGAGTATACTTTAGGCCTTCATCACCTTTCACCCAAATGGTGAGTATAGGCATTCGTGACGTTTAACCCAAATGGTGAGTATAGGCCTTCGTGACCTTTAACTCAAATGGTGAGTATAGGCATTCGTGACGTTTAACCCAAATGGTGAGTATAGGCCTTCATCACCTTTAACGCAAATAGTGAGTATAGGCCTTCATCACCTTTAACCCAAATGGTGAGTATAGTCAGTTTTATATCTTTCACTGAATAAGTGAGTCGAGTTTTATTCCGCGTATGTTTAATCTTCAAATTGACCTTTTTATTCAGAGATAAAAAGCCAGGATATAACCGAAACAGTGGGTTGATATTCTTCTCCGCCGCATCATGGCAATGAGTGAGTAAGACAGTGAGAGAGATACTATATAACTATAATCTGTCTGTATGACGGCTAGTGACACAGAAATAGACTCCGCACCTTCGGCGTTATCCACTAGGCTCCACCACCTCTTCCACATTGTTTAGTCCTCTGGCCGCGTCATACCAAAATACGGCAAAAGATGTGCCTGCGCTCGGCCTTAAAAGGGGCTAAATGACTGGTCGGCTCAGTCAGTATACTGTGTCTGAGTTGGGTAGCCATGTTAAACTGCGATGTTGTATCCCAGTGGGCTAGCATTATAAAACTAGTACAAGCACAAACACACAGTCACACACACAGACACATACAGACACACAGACACACACAGACACACACACACACACACACACACACACACACACACACACACACACACACACACACACACACACACACACACACACACACACACACACACACACACACACTGAGGCTGCTGAGCCAATAACAATGCATGCCTGACATCAGGAAATGGCGACTATGCTTGTATAAGAGGCGACTAGCCAGATCAGGTGGTCTGGCTCGCTGACTTGGTTGATGCATGTCGCCGTATCCCAATTGCGTCGATCGATGCTCATGATGTCAATCACTGGAATGTCTGTTCCAGACTTGATTGTTTACAGACTGCCGTCATATGGCTGCAATATTGCTGAGTTCGGTGTTAAACAACAAACAACAAACAACAACAAATAGAAATCATGGTGATGTGTTATATTTTTGTCAAAGCACAGTAATGACGTCACATCTTATTTTGTTTTAACGTCATGCAGAGCATATTGACGTCATGTATATGTTGACACTCTTCATGATCAAACTGATATCATGAGCATCGAGCACGCTGTTTAGTTATGGTGACACAGTCAGCTAGATCGCTCACAATAACCAGCCAATCCCAACTCTGGTTGACTCATACGATTCGCAAATATAATCAATGGGATTAGGTTGAAAATTAAATCATTTTAACGTCTTTAGGGCAAGTCTTTTCATGTGAGACTCAGAACAATAACTGAATCACTGACGTCAGACTTTCTCGCATCTTAAAATAATAGTTTTATGGAGACAGAATAACATTTCTGTCACTGATTCGGAATCAATACAAGCAATTTTGTTCTCTGAAAGGAAGCGCTAAAAATAAACTTGGGAGACGCAAAATATATTTTTCAGGACACCCGTTGACAACAACAAATACGACCCGAGACAGAAATACCGTTTTACAGTATTTTCATTTCATTTCCCCCAAAAGTGTGTGGACTCATTGTTTGAGTCCTGGGTTATTTGAGGTGGCCCGGTGTTGTGTAAACCGACATGCACTGTATTGAATATTAATCGCTCCCCTATGCGTGTCAGGATCCGTTGCATATGTTCCAGAATCGCACAGATTGTGAATCTTAGTCGGGTTAGAATTGTCGTAAGAGGCGACTATGCTTGTCGTAAGAGGCGTCTAACGGGATCGGGTGGTCAGGCTCGCTGGCTTGGTAGATGCATGTCATCGTATCCAAATTGCGTGGATTGATGCTCACGACTGAGCATGTCAATCACTGGATTGTCTGGTCCAGACTCAATTATTTACAGACCGCCGTCATATAGTTGGAATAAGCAAACAGAACCATCTCCGTCATGAGACTTAGGTTTGGGTCAATTTACATCACATTAAGATGAAACCCTGTTAAACCGTAAATAACCTTCCTCCTGTAAATGATATTGGTGTCAGCTTAATTTGAGAAGAAACCCACAGTGGTGCAGCTCTTAGACGTTTACCTCTTGCATGATACCGACGAGCACGGTATGATGCTGACAAACCTAAGTCATAATCACGGTGAATGTGGGATTCGAACCCATGATATTGTTTTCTGGAGCGTCTAGAAGACTTCACGGAATACAGCGTTGTGGACGACATGGCCACCCTACCCCCGTAATATAAGGATCGAGATAACGTCGCCTATATTATATGTTCCTAAGTTCTAAATATATGATTTTAATTGTACCTTCACGAACCACATTGAATGACGTTGAGTTTATGTTCTGAAACATACATTCCTCTATAATTCCTCCACAAAGTAAAGAGTGAGTGAGTTTGGTTTTGCACTGCTTTTAGCAATATTCCAGCAATATCACACAGGGGGACACCAGAAATGGGAATCGAACATTTACCCATGTGAGAAAGCGAACACGGGTCTTCGACGTGACCAGTGAACGCTTTAACCACTACGCTATCGCACCATCCACAAAGTGAAAAAAGCTATAGTATAAATATTGATGCGGTATTATTAAACACATCATTAAACCCGTGCGTATAAATGGACCAGAAGAAGGGAGATAACTTTGTAAATTACGCGTCTTTTACAGCATTTGTTGGTTTGTCCAATCACATGAAAGACTTTTAGATGTTTATAAGTTTTATATTACTTCAAACACGTCTGAAACGCCAGCATAAAGGAGTAATGGGAAAGCTATTCCAGGATCCAAAACACAAATTATGTGCTGATTCTGATCTTAAGTAGATCTAGTCTGTGAAGAACAAGCTTTTAGACCAAATTGGGTCCTTGGTTATGGAGAAAATGTTAAAATGATATAGTCATATTGACACTCAAAAAGCCATGAAGACCTTTTAATAGTTGATTCGTCTTTGATTCGTTTCATCACTGGAAAACCCAAATAAAATTCTTTTTGCGTTGATGCGATTCTAAATTGAGTCCATATTAAATAATTGAAGTATACGCAAGATATGGTTTTATACATCTGAGGCAATAACTGGCGTGAATGCAATGACCCTTTTAAATATAATGCAGCGAGTATATTATCAGTGAGTAGTTATTCTGTACCACTTATACATAACATTTTTTTAGAATATTGTGAAGTAACTCTAGTTTGGAGAAAGTCTAGGCTGACATTTGTTTTAGCTTTTGCTTGTGTTTAGTAATAAACTAATCTTTACCTATAATTTTAAAACGATTGGGCTCGATGAAGCAATCTGATTGCTTGAAAGCTTTGATAACTTCTATTTGAAGACAGAAATCTTCAGGATTTTCTCCTGCGGGTGAATACATTAACAAGAATAATATCAGAATGTGCGAAACGCGACATAAGGAATATTAATGACAGCAACAATTCATCATATCAGAAAGACATAAAATGAGTTGACCCTTCTGACCCTTCATTTGTCACAGTCATATGACGTCATCCGTTGTATCATGACGTCATAACATTATAACCTGACGTCTTGTCTGTATCGCAGTGCAACGGAAAACTACCGATAGCGTTTTGTATAAAAATTATACTGTCGATAAACATTATGTTCAAGATTTGCGGTCGTTACTGAATATTCGATGCGCGGTTAAGTGGGCTTTAAATACTCAATAACACCCTCAAATGTTCTACTAAGATCTTACGATATATGCTCGAACTGTTTCAGCGACCGCCTTCAGGGAATGCGGAGATAATGGGACATGGAAGGACCACCCGTTATCTGGTCGGCCATGGAGCAACTACTCGGCATGCAGGCAGAGAACGACCAATCAGGTACGGAGAACATTTCTCAAACTTAAACCACTGAAGGTCATTTCCACAGAACACCTCTCCCCTTTTGCTTTGTAGAAATACTTGCAGATATATACAGACCATCTTATGATAATGGTCTTATAGACGCAGGGCTGTATACATTCATTGACAAATGACGTCATGCCTTTTTCGACGTCATCTACATTTGACGCAATGCAAGTGTGACGTCATCGAATAGACATCACTCGTGTATATCGTGTTTTAGTCTTAATTATCTAATCCTAGCGCACTTTTTACTCTCTCACAGGTTTGTTTAAATTTTAGGTTTAATGGTTATTCATGTATCATTCACGTACATAAAGGTTACCGTATTATCTTTGTTATTGATCATGTTTGTAGATACGTCATAGAAAGATTAGTCATAGATAGGATAGAATCCGACCACACGTTTGGGGGAAATGAAATGAAAATACTGTAAAACTGTAGTTTTCCTCGGGTCGTATCGACAGTTGTTGTCCAAGGGTATCCTGAAAAATATGTTTAGCGTCTCCCAAGTTTGTTTTAGCGCTTCCTTTCAGAGAACAAAATTGCTTGTGTTCATCCTGTATCAGAAATGTTATTCTGTCTCCATAAAAATATTATTTTAAGATGCGAGAAAGCCTGACGTCAGTGATTCAGTTATTGTTCTTAGTCTCACATGAAAAGACTTGGCCTAAAGACGTTAAATATTTAATTGTCAACATAATCCCATTCGACATTTATATACTTTTGGCAACGATGTTTAAGGGATTGTATCTCAGTTTAGTCGACGTACGTTTGTATCTTGGCTTGTAGGGTTTAGAACTTATCACTTTGCCTGACAAACTGATCCAGTCAAGATCCCTGTTTGCATTGGAACAACTGTTTTAAATCCTTTATTTTAAACTTAATATTTCACAAGGGAATTAAATTCAGACTGACGAATACATAACATTGACGCCATGATGTCAATTATTCATACACTAGTTATTAAGTGCATATGTTTATGGTGCTTCTTAATCACCATGAAAATAACACGCGTTATTTCAAACAGTTAAGGCAGAGATTGTGCGAAACACAAGAAGCCATTCCCGTGCAAGTAAAACACTCATATGTTTTGAAAACAGAATAAAGTAACTACTTTCAACAACAATAAATAGTTTTATCACGTTATTGCATACTCTGCGTCATTTCCTAAAGGAAATGAAAACACCATCGATAATAGATCAAATCCTTTTGTTCTTGTTATCGAACATCCTACGTTATTCTTGAATAACACCTTTGAAAAAACGCCTTTTCTGTCTCTATGAGAATTATCCTATCTTAAGAGCGATCAAATGTTTCACGCAAATATAGGCCAACATCTTTCAACAGCAGTGACATATCATGAATATATGGAAGGAAATTTCATTGATTAAGTAATCCTCGTGTCGGATATCATATCACCATTGACGATAATTCATATCCCCCACGCCCAGTAATGAGTCTTGATCGAGGTTTTCACCGTCACCGTCACTCTCCTAATTGTTTTCTTTAGTAGTGAGTTTTAGTCGTATTACTCCTCAGGTCAAATACGTCCTCAGGGGACGTGTAGCCTAGTGGTCTCGGCTTTGTCAATTATGGGTCAAACATATATCATATTCGGTACAGTAACAGTCTATTTCACCAACAGACATGTATACATATCCTGAAGTGGCTAGCGTTCAAGAACGGAAGGTCTAGATGTTTATATAAATCTTTTTATATAATTATGTTACATTTTTATAAAGTTGTTATGATTCATTTGTTAATGGCGTTAAAATAAAAAAAGGTTTTTAGATACATAAAGTGTCATACATTGTGAACAAAATCTTAATTAATCTTAAGTAATCTCCTCAGACACCACACAGTCGAGGAGATCGGAAACATTGATATGTGTATCATCCCCAGGGGCTGATGAATGGATCATGTTCGTGCCAGTAAAAAGAAAAGTCGTTCATTGACATACTTCAAAATGTAATATACTTAAGAGTGAGTGGGTATGGTTTTACGCCGCTTTCAGCGATAATCCAGCAATATCACAGCGGGGGAACCAGAAATGGGCTTCACACATCGGGAATCGAACCCGGGTCTTCGGCGTGATGAGTGAACGCTTTAACCACTAGGCTACCCGACCGCCCCATAAACTTGAGAAACTTCTTCTCAGAAACCAGAAGACCAAGAATACTGAATTTTTACGGGATATTTTGGACCCTAAAATGTTACATGATTTTTTCCGTGGCATGGATTTGACTAATTTGGTTATCTTTTCAGAAATCAAACGTTACAGAGAGTTGATATTTTGGTACGCCGTGAAGCAGATTTAATCAAGGCATTTAGTGTAATAAATTTAAATTTTCTTTGACATATAAATATCGTGGTGAAAGGTTGTTTAAGATGTACTGATGATCAGTATCTCTTAGGCGCTAAACTTTGGTTATCTTTGATAATATTGCGAAAACATTTAACATCTCAGAATCATAGGGCTGACATAATATATTGTTATAGATATTGTCCTCTTTAAGTCACATTAACCACCCAAATAACAGCTACGGTCTCCTTATTTGATGGTTAATCATTTCACTACATTTAGCTGACGTGTATCTGTTGAGTGAGTGAGTGAGTATGGTTTTACGCCGCTTTTAGCAATATTCCAGCAATATCACGGCGGGGAACACCAGAAATGGGCTTCACACATTGTACCCATGTCGGGAATTGAACCCGGGTCTTTGGCGTGACGAGCGAACGCTTTAACCACTAGGCTACCCGACCGCCCCGTATATATGTTGAACAGCAGTGCATTGTTATACTATACATTACAGAAGCTGTCATACAGTGCTTAGCTATTTCACTAACATCTTTTTGTATATCAATCAACCCGCATCAATGCTTGGATTCCTCTCGCATGAAGCTTGTGTAACTTACAGTGTTCAAAACAGCGTTGATCCAAACTGACCCCTTAATGCATATTTTAGGTAGTAAAGAGCCTCGATATGCTATGATATCGCCGAGGAAGGGTTGTTAAGATATATGCAAAAAAGTTAGTTTGACTTTTATCGTCTGAGTGTGGGTGTATCTGAGCAATATCCTTCACATAGTAACACTTGAACTTCTACCACGCAGGATCTGGGAGGCTAGAAGCATTAGTATGATCAAAGACGTGTTTTTTTGGTAAATCTTTTTGACACTTTCAAATGGATGTGAAAAAAATACGTCGTTTACGCCTCTGCAGGATCTTTATATTTCCTTTTACCTTTTGGAAAATGAGAGTGATTATTGCTTAATGCCGCATCAGCCATCTTGCAGCTATTCGCGGAGATTTGGAAAAATGAAGTCAGCTATTTCAAACATTTGCACCAGAAAAGCTTCCTGCACTTTTGTCTTGTTGTATCCATGAAAACACATTGCACTATGTTTTGTGATATTTTTAAAGTCGCAGGCCAGATATATCTTGGTAGCCTGTAAAATATACGTGTCTGGAGGTGACATCAGAGATCTTTTCACGATATGATGGCATGCAGGCCTGACTACCTGATACATAAATTCTCCTCTTACAACAAGCACAGGCTACTGGGGATCTAGGGAAATCCCGGTGTTAGGTTGTTAGTATAAATACTTGCGTCACTGATAAGACAATTATTTATTTGTTGTATGTAAGTAAATACGACAGAAATCATTTCCATCATCATACGTAATCTCTTCTATAACGAGGGTCCATTGTAGGATTCAGACTGTATCATGAGCATGTGTTTATGAATCACTGTCAAAGAGTGATGATACCAGGTGTTTGCGAAAAGGTGATCTTATCCAGCCCCGACTGGTGGCACCCGTAACAAACACATGCGAAGGCAAGTAAATTTCTCATTGCAAAATACACGGGATAAAAAGCAAATTTTAAGGCAACCCAAGTCCTAGTGTTCACCAGATAACATGTGGTATACAAAATAGGGAATTACAGCGGACATCATGTTTGTCACTGATGATTCACATTTGGAAATGTCCTCCACATGTCTGTCACAAAATATTTAAAAAAAACTTACTGACGCTTTTAATGATGTAACCTTGATTAAAAAACTCCAAAATATATATATTGTTTTTGTTCAACGCCGCACTCAGCAATATTTCAGCTATATGACGGCAGTCTGTAAATAATCAAGTCTGGACCAGACAATCCTGTGATTGATTTCATGAACATCCTCCCACGCAATTTGAATACGATGACATGCATTAACCAAGTCAGCGAACCTGACCACCCGATCCCCTTAATCGGCTACTCCTCTTAATTCTGTTCACATTCAACTGCCATTGTGACCACCTGATCCCCCTCTTAACGTCTCGTAAGATAAAACCATCATGTGCGGTACTGGAAGTGAGTGCTTGAGGTCAGTTATGTCCCGGCGTATCAGTTTCATATGGAGGAAAACCCTAAAACATTTTCAACATTAAGTGAAAGCAACGAGCACGGGTATTGTGCTGACAAACCACGGATCCTGGTCAGAACGAATTGGAGATTCGAACCCGCGATCATAAGTTCCTTGGATCTATGGGGGACACACGTATTAACAGAGAATTGCGTCGCAGACTGGGTTACCTTTTCCCTACAAGTACTAGCGTCTACTGCAATCACAATGATGCTGCACAGAGAAACAGAAGCTCACAAATAAACTTTATATTTATTAGCGCTAGAATGTGAAATGACATTGAGAAATATGTACACATTCAAGTACTATTTTGATGACTGTCTTAAAGACAACTTCCTGAAGGCTCCGACATTTTAGAAATGTCAAATTGTAGCCTACAGTCCCCTTGGTGTCTTTTACTTCGGAAACGGCGGATGACCGGAAATGCTCTGAATTGAGTAGCTTTAGATATTTCAAGAGGCAATTAGAACTTGTGCACGTTATCGTTTCAGCTGCTCCAACTTGACTCATCGGACGACGATCGCCGCTTCATCTATATTTTTATTGGTGGATTTTCCTTTTCCATCGTGATGCTTTTTATCTCTTTGATAATCTTCTTCTCATTCAGGTAAGTGAACCAATACTTATCATCTAGAAGAGTTGCGTTATCCACAGAACATGATAAGATCTTTGAAAGTGCATTGCAAATATCCGTGACAGATGTTGACTTATAGACTGATGAAGACAATGAATACATGGCAACTTGATTGGCTGTAGTTGGTCATATAATCAGGAAATAGCAGATACAGTGAGAATGCAACTATTTCATGGGTGGGATGTTGGGAGCACACAGATCTAGTCAACGCAACATGGAGACTTGATTGGCTGCAGTCAGACATGTTAACAAGTATGAACAAGATACAGAAACTATTTAGGGGTGTCATGTTGCTAGTACCATAATCAACCTAACATGGCAGCTTGATCATCGACGTATTGGCCAAATAAGCAGGAACGAACTGAGCAACAGATTCACCAACTATTACAGGGGTGTCTTGTTGGCAGTCCATAGATCTAGTGAACGCAAAATGGTAACTTGATTGGCTGCAGTAGGAGGCATTAACCATCACAATCAACCCAACATGGCAGCTTGATCTTGAGTGGCAAATAAACAAGAAAGAATTGATCGACAGATACAACAAATATTGCAGGGGTATTAAAATGGAAGCTCCCCGAATCAACCCAACGTGGAAAATGGATTAGCTACGGCTATATTAACAAGGAAGAACCAATAAAATAAGAAAGCAACTGTACTGACAATACAAGCACAGACCATAATGTACCCTATATTTCGGATTAACGCTTACATTGCATGCATACGGAACCACTATCAGCTGGTTCTAACGTACCTAGTATATATGAAGGACTATGTTAATACATACATAACTGACACATAAGTCAAATGACCTGTACATGTACAAGTGTTGTCTACATTGCCTGTACTTCACATGGTAAAGATCTATCAGTTGTACATGTATGATATACCAGTACTACAGTTGTACATCCATCAGTTGTAGGATATGCCAGTACATGCGAAAGGGATGCCTACTTTGTCAGAACTACAGAACAATACATGGTGAACATCCATCATTAGTATGCTATGCCAGTACATGCGCAAGGGCTGCCTACTTTGTCAGTACTACAGAATTATTCATGGTGAACACCCATCATTAGTATGATATGCCAATACATGCGCAACGGATGCCTACTTTGTCAGTACTACCGGACAATTCATGGTGAACACCCATCTAAATTATGATATGTCAGGACGTATCCAAGGGCTGGCTACTTTGTCAGTACTACAGAACTATACATGGAGAACATCCATCTAAAGTATGGTATGCCAGTACATGCGCAAGGGCTGCCTACTTTGTCAGTACTACAGAACAATGCATGGTGAACATCCATTTAAAGTATGATATGTCAGGACGTGTGCAAGCTAAGGGCTGCCTACTTTGTCAGTACCACAGAACAAAATATGGTGAACATCCACCTAAAGTATGATATATGTCAGGACGTATGCAAGGGATGCCTACTTTGTCAGTACTACAGATCTATATATGGTGAACATCCATCTAAAGTATGATATGTCAGGACGTATGCAAGGGCTGCCTACTTTGTCAGTACTACAGAACTATACATAGAGAACATCCATCTAAAGTATGATATGTCAGGACGTATGCAAGTGCTGCCTACTTTGTCAGTACTACAGAACAATACATGGTAAACATCCATTTAAAGTATGATATGCCAGTAAATGCGCAAGGGCTGGCTACTTTGTCAGTACTACAGAACAATACATGGTAAACATCCATTTAAAGTTTGATATGCCAGTACATGCGCAAGGGATGCCCACTTTGTCAGTACGACAGAACTATACATGGTGAACATCCATCTTAAGTATGATATGTCAGGACGTATGCAAGGGATGCCTACTTTGTCAGTACTACAGAACAATGCATGGTGAACATCCATCTTAAGTATGATATGTCAGGACGTATGCAAGGGATGCCTACTTTGTCAGTACTACAGAACAATGCATGGTGAACATCCATCTTAAGTATGATATGTCAGGACGTATGCAAGGGCTGCCTACTTTGTCAGTACTACAGAACAATGCATGGTGAACATCTATCTTAAGTATGATATGTCAGGACGTATGCAAGTGCTGCCTACTTTGTCAGTACTACAGAACAATACATGGTAAACATCCATTTAAAGTATGATATGCCAGTACATGCGCAAGGGATGCCCACTTTGTCAGTACGACAGAACTATACATGGTGAACATCCATCTTAAGTATGATATGTCAGGACGTATGCAAGGGATGCCTACTTTGCCAGTACTACAGAACAATGCATGGTGAACATCCATCTTAAGTATGATATGTCAGGACGTATGCAAGGGCTGCCTACTTTGTCAGTACTACAGAACAATGCATGGTGAACATCCATCTTAAGTATGATATGTCAGGACGTATGCAAGGGCTGCCTACTTTGTCAGTACTACAGAACAATGCATGGTGAACATCTATCTTAAGTATGATATGTCAGGACGTATGCAAGTGCTGCCTACTTTGTCAGTACTACAGAACAATACATGGTAAACATCCATTTAAAGTTTGATATGCCAGTACATGCGCAAGGGATGCCCACTTTGTCAGTACGACAGAACTATACATGGTGAACATCCATCTTAAGTATGATATGTCAGGACGTATGCAAGGGATGCCTACTTTGTCAGTACTACAGAACAATGCATGGTGAACATCCATCTTAAGTATGATATGTCAGGACGTATGCAAGGGCTGCCTACTTTGTCAGTACTACAGAACAATGCATGGTGAACATCCATCTTAAGTATGATATGTCAGGACGTATGCAAGGGCTGCCTACTTTGTCAGTACTACAGAACAATGCATGGTGAACATCCATCTTAAGTATGATATGTCAGGACGTATGCAAGGGCTGCCTACTTTGTCAGTACTACAGAACAATGCATGGTGAACATCTATCTTAAGTATGATATGTCAGGACGTATGCAAGTGCTGCCTACTTTGTCAGTACTACAGAACAATACATGGTAAACATCCATTTAAAGTTTGATATGCCAGTACATGCGCAAGGGATGCCTACTTTGTCAGTACTACAGAACAATGCATGGTGAACATCTATCTTAAGTATGATATGTCAGGACGTATGCAAGGGCTGCCTACTTTGTCAGTACTACAGAACAATGCATGGTGAACATCTATCTTAAGTATGATATGTCAGGACGTATGCAAGGGCTGCCTACTTTGTCAGTACTACAGAACAATGCATGGTGAACATCCATCTTAAGTATGATATGTCAGGACGTATGCAAGGGATGCCTACTTTGTCAGTACTACAGAACAATGCATGGTGAACATCCATCTTAAGTATGATATGTCAGGACGTATGCAAGGGATGCCTACTTTGTCAGTACTACAGAACAATGCATGGTGAACATCCATCTTAAGTATGATATGTCAGGACGTATGCAAGGGCTGCCTACTTTGTCAGTACTACAGAACAATGCATGGTGAACATCTATCTTAAGTATGATATGTCAGGACGTATGCAAAGGCTGCCTACTTTGTCAGTACTACAGGACAATATATGGTGAACATCAATTTAAAGTATGATATGTCAGGACGTATCCAAGAGCTCCCTACTTTGTCAGTACTACAGAACTATACATGGAGAACATCCATCTAAAGTATGATATGCCAGTACATGCGCAAGGGCTGCCTACTATGCAGTACTACAGAACTATACATGGTGAACATCTATCTAAAGTATGATATGCCAGTACATGCGCAAGGGCTGCCTACTTTGTCAGTACGACAGAACAACACATGGTAAACATCCATCTAAAGTATGATATGTCAGGACGTATGCAAGGGATGCCTTAATTGCCAGGCATTTACACGCACCCACATATATATGTTTATAAAATCTAAATACTAGTATTTCCGTCAATCGTTAACAAAGTGTGTTCCAGTTAAACATTATACTTAAAAAAGCAATCAATTCAATGATGCAAAACATTGGAACTCAATCCATTATTCATCCTGTGCTGTTACCACTTATTATAAAAAAAGTAATAAATACGTTATTTGCCATGACTAACAAATATTCTTTAATTAACAACCTTGGAAAACAGAGTTAGAGGATTAAACAGTGCCCCTAAGCCTTTCGCGAATGTTGGAACCCATTATATGAAGTGAAATTGATTTTGTCCAGGATTGTTATAAGATAATTGTTGTCTTGTGAAAGAGTAATGATCAAGAGATGAGCCTTGAGGGATGGAACGGAAATATAACTCTTGTGGAATTTATTTGTTTTGAAATTGATTATGACATGCGCGTTATCGATATGAGATCTTTACGTTCTATCTATTCCATTTGCATGGACACTCTCATAGAATATGACAAGTGAGTTATCGATATGAAATATGCACGTTCTGTCTGTTCTTTTTGCATGGACATTATCGTGTACATATCGGATGCAACGACGGATTTGAAATTGAAATGATCTAATTTGGCTTCGTAAGTGCCTCTAAGTACGGACTCTGATAAATTAGATATGCTTATCAGCTTCCGATGTTGAGAAGTTAAGTTCGAAAAGCCTTCCTGAGGTTTGTATTTCATATTGCTCGTGAACACTTCTTCTTGAAGTGAATGTACAAATATTGACTGAAATGAAACATCACTCAAGCGCCCAGCAGCCCAGTGCTAGTCATCAAGTTCTTGAATTTTCGACGATGGAACTCATGACGAAGATAAAGAAGTTATACTGCATTAAGAATGATTAAAAAAAAGCAGTTACCGAAATAAAGTCTTTCAGATTTCATTTGACATGTTAGCGACTTCCATCTCAAATTCTGAAATTGAAAGGATAATGTTTATCGAGATTTTAAACTAGCAAAATTTCAGTCATGTTTCGAAGCACTCTCTCTCTCTCGTTCTTTCTTGGGGGACACGGGTGGCCCAGTCGTCGCTGTGCAGAGTTGCGTCCCGTAGGCACGCCAGAATCCTATGATTGTAG